CCCCATTGCCAGCAAGAGTTTCAGCAGCCTGTGACATTTGATCTGGAAGCAAGTTAGATTGGAAGGGGAAGAGAGGAACGGAGAGGGTTCCCCAGGAGACTGCTGCCGCTGCTTTGCCTGGTTCCCACCTGTGACTCACTCCGAGCCCTGGATGGAGATGAACGCTACACCCGAGATAAGATTACATCCCTTGTAGGAATTTGCTGCTAGCGCGAGACTGACACTCGGCACCCTGACAGTCCAACGGTGTGCGAGGTACAAACAAGCGGCAGACAGACTAGCAAAAAAAGGAATAAACTTGCTAAACAGTTTGCATAAATGCAGGTGATCCCTGCCCCAAAGAGGTCTTCGCTACATTTTATGCTTATTGCTTCTATAAGGGATCGTAACGTAGTCTATTGCACAGTGTATTGTCTGTATCGCCTTCCTTTCTGATGCCCTGTCCCTTACCTTTGTCTCCTTCATTACAAGAAATTACAGGCTAGCTATCCTAATGTCTGCGCCAGGCAAATCAGTAGAAACTCTAATCAAAGATAGAATTATTAGGCAAACAGAGGGACAAAGCCTGCTGAGAGAAAATCAGCATGGCTTCTGCAAAGGGAAGTCCTGCCTCACCAACCTCTTGCAGTTCTATGAGAAAGTGAACAAGCGCGTAGACAATGGTGACCTGGTAGACATGGTGTGCCTGGACTTTCAAAAGGCTTACTCCTGAGTAAACTTTGCAGGCATAGGATAAGAGGACGGGTTCTCTTATGGATGAGAAACTGGTTAAATGACAGGGAGCAAAGAGCAGGAATCAATGGACAGTTCTCACAAAGGAGGGAAGTAATCAGTGGGGTCTCTCAAGGATCGGTGTTGGGGCTGGTACTGCACATGCAAGCAGACGAAGGTTGCACATGCAAGCAGACTGGGGGTTGCGTTGGTACAACAGACTTCCTGAAAACCTGGAAGACAATTCCAATATGGGAGACCATTGCTGCAGAATACTTTGTTTGCATTGTTTCTAACTTTGGGTGCGGTCACACGTGCCGGATAAAATGGGGGGGGGGAGCGAGGCTATTTCCTCCGGAAGAATTTGACCCGCAGTTGCAAGATCACACCTTCCTTCGAGGCTGCGGGCGCAGTCCATCAGTGTGTGATCAGACGCAACTGCGAGTGAGTCGGGGGGGGTTGTGCCGTTTCCCCCCCCATGCGCTTAAACGAGGGATCGATGAATTGCACCTCCGCACGGAGGGCTCCCTATGGAGTGTGCGATGATGCGCATACTGTGAAGGGGGAAAAAACAACGGCACAGAGTCGGGATGGCCTGATCAGACCATCCCGACGCCATGAGAGCGTGCTGGAGCGATCGGACACGGGAACGTCCGTCCGTGGCCCGTCGCAACCCATTTGCTGCTGGATTACCCCCGGTGTCTTTTAACTCTGCTTCTGTGGCGGAGCAGAACAGACTGCCAACGGTTGCGGGGTGCTTCCCAGATGTTGCCGTCTGATCGCGCCCTTTAAATCCGCCCGACATTCACACCTATGTTGGGTCTAATTGTGCGTATGATCGCAGCCCTTGTAATCCTAGTCCTGCTGCGTTACTTGTTATATTTCTCATGCTATCTGATTACACTGTTTTACACTGTGCGATGTCTCTACTTTTTATCATGCTGTTGAGGTTCGCCATCGCTTTCCTCCCAAGGAGCAGGCGTCTTTTAATTTCATGGCTGCTGTCACAGTCTGCAGTGATCTGGGATCCCAGGAACGTGATGTCTGTCACTACTTCCACGACTTCCCTTTCTATTTGCCAAGGAGTGATGGGGCCGGATGCCATGATCTTAGTTTTTTTGATGTTGAGCTTCAAGCCCACTTTTGCGCTCTCCTCTTTCACTCTGAGCAAGAGGCAAGAAGTAGAGACATCACCCTGCCAACAAAAGTCCACATGGTCAAAGCAATGGTATTCCCAGTAGTCATGTATGGCTGTGAGAGCTGGACTATAAGGAAGGCTGAACGCCGAAGAATAGATTCTTCTGAACTATGGTGCTGGAGAAGACTCTTGAGAGTCCCTTGGACTGCAAGAAGATCAAATCAGTCAATCCTAAAAGAAATCAACCCTGACTGTTCCCTAGAAGGCCAGATAATGAAATGGAAGCTCAAATACTTTGGCCACCAAATGAGAAGGGAGCACTCACTGGAGAAGAAGACTCTGATGCTGGGAAAGACTGAAGGTCAAAGAAGACAGGGACGGCAAAGGATGAGATGGTTAGACAGTGTCATAGATGCAACAAACATGAAGTTGAGCAAACTTCAGAGGATGGCGGAAGACCGGAAGGTCTGGTGTGATCTGGTCCACGGGGTCGCAAAGAGTCGGACTCGACTGTGCGACTGAACAACAACAACAACACTGTGTGATCCACCATGAGCCTCAGACAGGGGAAAATCAATATAGATGAAGAAAATAAACAGAGAGATGTTGTGTTCTAGAGCTGGGCTAAGTCCCGGGTTGAAATCCTAACCTGGCTGTGAAGTGTGCTGGGGGACCCTGGGCCAGGCACTCTTGCACAGCTTCACCTACTTTCCAGGGTTCTCGCGAGGATGAAATTGGGGGGGGGGGCACGTGCACCCGCCTGAGCTCCTCCGAAGAAAGATGGAACAAAACTGTGGGACAGACAGATGGACACTGGCAGGGAGGAGAACAACTACAGATTAAAAACAGCAAGAAATAATGACAGATGTTAGCATTTTTAAAAAATGACAGATCAAATAAAGGGACCAAGTTAGAAACCCAGCAGAAAAAAACCAGAATCCCGTGATCCAAAAGCCCTCTGTTTCTCTTTGTTGGCAGGACACTGGGAAAGCTGGAACCAGGTGGATCATCGAGAAGACCCTCCCTCATGGTCCAGCACAAACACACATTCCACGTTGATTCCCCCTGCAATCAGCTCCCTCGGCCCTCCCATTCGTATTAACTGGCAGGCCCCAGTTTATCAGAGGCTGCTGAGAGAGAGTAAATCAGTGGGCAAGATGCATCTCAGAGCTATAAATTCTACAAATGGTGACAAGAGTTACCAATGGTGAGGGGTAGCCTTCCTAGTGCCACGTGGAAACAGTTACCTGCCGCGACATGACATGTGGCTGAAAAAAGCCCAGAATCCCTTGTTGTGTTAACACATCCAACATCACCACCACCACTACTCTGAGACGCTTGTCTGCAATGACCAGTTGGACTGCTAATGTACAGGCTTTGGCATCCAGCAGTTATTTCATCCACCTGTCAGTTAACACTGCCATGTTGCTGGAATGTGTGGAAGGGGGAACCACCTTGCTCTGCCTGCTACTGAGTTTCACTGTCTGGGTATTATCTATTTTCTTGACCTTGGGATGTTCCAGCTGTTGTCGGCAACCAACGGCTTTTGCTTTTTGCCCGCTTGCTTCCCCCCCCCCCCCCGGGGGCGGCCTTTTTTTCTT